ATATATAATGTCAAAAATGTAAAGGTAGGCAGAGGGGAGTTAAACAAAATAACAATATGACTGCGGCGTATAAATGCGCTTGCTAGCTGGATTCCCGCACGGATCTCAAACAGCATGCATCGTTTCACCAATGTGGAGCTTACCGGCTTGCATTTCATGTATGGGGCTGCACAAGGAAACGAATTAGTTGCTCAGAGGATGTACAGGGAGCGTCAGAAATCACCTGGACGCTGTCTACGGCCAGCATTGGATAGGATGGGGTGGTCAAGTTCCTGGCCACCGCGTTCTCCTGATTTAATCTGCTTGGATTTTTTCTTTTGGGGTCATATTAAAAGCCTGGTGTACGAGAGTCCCATCAAGAAGATTTTGTTGTCCGCTTGTCTGTTGCTGCTTTACATGCGCTCGACATGCCTAACGTCTTTTCTAATGTTCGCCGATCTATGCGCCGTCGCTGTGAATCTTGTATCGATGTTGGTGGCCGCTCTTTCGAGCACCTCTTGTAAACTGTTGATAAATTTTAATTTTCTTTTGTCTTTACTTGTTTTTTTAGTTTCCTCTGATTCATACTGCTTTACAAGCTAGTGCTTTAATGTGCCATTACAGCACACACACTCCTATCCGAAATATGCTTATTTATGTCCCCTCTTCCTACCTTTACATTTTTGACATATATTTTAGGACCACCCTGTATGTATATATATATATATATATATATAAATTTTTTAAACAATAAATGAAAATATTATTAGAAATAATTGACAATAATATTTCAATCTACAATGCTACACAAAAAATCCAAATGAATAAATAAAAAATGAATTAATTTTAATTTCGGACATCATTTTAAATCTACCTTTCCCCTGTCTTTGCTTAACCAAAAGAAATCGGTTTAAACTTATACGCATTCTAATGTGAGACTAAAAATATTTGTTCTTACCAAACATTCCTCCTATGCAGATCAAAGTCCCGAAGATTCCATTTTGAGGAGGCGATCCCGCTGCATCACTAAATTGGGTGTACAAAAAATATTAATATCTTGGGTGTACAAAAAATATTAATATATTGGGTGTACGAAAAATATTAATATATTGGGTGTACAAAAAATATTATTATATTGGGTGTACAAAAAATATTAATATATTGGGTGTACAAAAAATATTAATATATTGGGTGTACAATGGTGAGGCTGCTGTAAGTGAGAGAAATTCATGTGAGTGGTTTCAGAAGTTTAAAACCGGTGAGTTTGACATGGAAGATAAAGAACGCAGTGGAAGGCAGAAATTTCACGAAGACAAGGAATTGGAAGAAGATTCGTCTCAAACTAAAAAAGAACTTGTTCTTACATTACAAGAGATTCAGCGAAGCAATTTCACATCGTTTAAAATCATTGGGAATGATCCAAAAACGAGGAAGTTGGGTACCGTACGAGCTGAAGTCAAGAGACATTGAACGTCGATTTTGCAAGAAAATTGATTTTGATATTTGATAGCACTTCAATGGGAAGTCCTACCAATCCCGCCACATTCGCTAGATCTTGCCCCCTTCTGATTATCACCTATTCAGGTAGATGGCACATGGTCTGTATGAGCAGAAATTTATATCATTTGAAGAAACCAAAGAATGGGTCGATTCGTGAATATCCTCGAAAGATGAAGAGTTCTTTACGACGTGGTATCTGAATGCTCCCAAGAAGATGTGAAAAAGTAATGCCTAGTAATGGAGAATACTTTGAATAAAATATAATTTACCGTTTTTTTTCACAATGAACTTTTTACTTTTGATAGAAAACGGCAAAAACTTATTCGTACTCCCAATAAGTAATAAAATTAGACTACGCAAATAAAGCACAAAATAAAAAAAGGCATACTACAGTTTCGTTTCTATAATTAAAAACCTTCTAAAGTGTTGAAACTCAAAGTTCCGCAATTTTAATAGCATCATTTTATAGAATTTGCTAAAAGCTCAATTCATCAAATAAATTTGGAGAAAAAAGAATTTAAATTGAGCAAAGTATGTTAAAAGGCATTAAGTACACAACGGCAACAAAAAAAATCCAATTTCAATTTAAACATTCATAAAATCTTAACTAATAAATTAGTATCAACACTTTTTTGGTTGCATTAAGATGAAAAGTTTGTGCGCCTGCGTGTCTGTGCATCTTTTACAACACCAGAACCGTGTCAAAGAGGTTAGTAAATCGAACTCGTTATGAGAGGGGGTAACTCACCTTATGAGAGGTAAAATGGCTTCCACATTGCCCCTGGTCACAGCAATGGCATAGGCCGCAGCACACCCTGCCAGAAGAAGTATTCCGAATGTTACGGGGATGTAGCCCCCATGGTTTATGTTGAATTCTGTTACTTTTGTAGCTGTTAGGAGGGCATCTGTAACACACCAAGACATTAAACACAAGCTACTGTATAGTTTGTCTGTGTAAAGAACTCCCCTAGTCATTCGTCTGCAGTGGTGATCGTGGTGACTATGGTTACGAGATTTAAATATTTCAAGTAGGGGTTTTGACTCGGATCGGCGAGAGAAAGGGAATCAGGGGAGAAAGAAGCTCCCTTCTTTGAAATACGCTGTTTATGCTTCTATAGCAGACGACCTTAGACTTCGTGGCGAGGGGTGTTCTTTCCATAGACAAATTATAACAATGTGAAACGAAGTATGTAAAATAATTATCAACATTTGAAAATTATTTGATTAGTATCATCGGAAAATAAATATCAACTGACAACTCAGAAATATTTTTTCGGAATAATTCAGTTTCATAGGAAAATTTTCGAAACATGAATTCTACAGAATACTTAAATTTTTTTCTTTTAACTTTATTCTAGAAACTCAGAATAAAATAGGAATTAAAATAAATTAAAAATTTAAAGCAATTTTATTTACAAAGGAGTTCGCCTACCGCTCGCTTAGCTCACCTACCCTCCCTGACGTTTAATTTGAAATTAAATTTTTTTCAAGCGGAGTGAAACATCAAAATCAAAAATTATTCAGCTTATTTTCTCCGATTCAGGTTATTTTCTCAATTACTTAACTTTTGCGTCCTAATATTTCTCATTAAAATATTTATTTTCAATATTTAATGCTGTGTTTTCTTTAAAATACTCACACGGAGTTAAAAAAGTATAAGCACCTAACTCATTTTGTAGATAAAATATATTTTTATGTAAATAAAATTTAGGTAAAATGTCATTATTATCTCATATCCTCAATACACATTTCTGAAATTGATTATTTTTATTTACCATTTTCTGAAATTACTATATTGTGAAAGCATACATAGATTGTGAAAGCATACAGGGACAAATGCATACATATTCTGTTGTAGTATAACTGTACATTTGAATGTGTATCATCAATATTCTGAGAAAAAAATTTATAATTAGTTCCACATATCAATTACCGTCCCAAGTCCAAAAGGGGCCTATAAAACACTATTGATGGCTCTAGTTAAATAAAATGCAACTTCCAGGTTGCAAAGAACACTCTTCTCGGGGAAAAATAAACTTTTAATTGAAGTATTATTTCTTTCCAAAGGAGTGCACAAAAAGAGTGCTTTCTGATATTGTATCGATATAGCCAAGCGTGTTATTTTTACTTATTGTGCTCTATTTAATTTGTTGTAATTTTTGTAAAAAAATTTTTTTTGAGTGCTCCTCACACTATTGTATTAATATATTTTGCTTTGGCTTTATTGATACAATATCAGAAAGCACTCTGTTTTGCGGATATAATCGTGTGGGCTGAAGAAAAGATTATATCTTTTTTTTC